TGACCTACTATGCCTATCAAAGATTCATCTTTCAGTTCTTATTTTTAAGAAAAATTGTTCCTAATAGCTACTGTCAAATTTTTTCTTTCACATACAATTTTGTAAATCTTGATATTAGATAAGTTTTTACTTTAAAAAGTGCCCTAAAGACTCCTCAAGGAAGAGCATTTCAGGATAGCCTTGTTTGGGTATAGCTTAGGTTTGTGTGTGTGTGTTTTCTCACAAAAGTCACATGGTGTTTGTGCTGTGGAGCTTAACCTATCTTTAATTCTGTTTACATCCTTTAAGGCAAAACCATAACCAAAATGAATTTAAGATAACCTAATTAGAGGGCCAGGAGAAACCAGCACAGATTATAAGGATTGTGAGATATCATGATTCATTCTAGGATCGGACTGCAGCATGTGGATATGGTTTGGCTTTGTGTCCCCACCCAGATGGATGTCATGTTGAATAGTAATCCCCAGTGTTGGGGGAGGGACCTGGTGGGAGTTGATTGGATCATGGAGACAGATATCCCTCTTGCTGTTTTCCTGATAGCAAGTAGGTTCTCACAACATCTGGTTGTTTAAAAGTGTATAGCACTTTCCTCTTCACTCTCTCTGCTACTGGCCATGTGAAGATGTGCTTGCTTCCCCTTCACCTTCTGCCATGAATGGAAGTTTCCTGAGGCCTCCCCAGCTGTGCTTCCTGTACAGTCTGTGGAACCATGAGCCAATTAACCCTCTTTTCTTTATAAATTACCCAGGCCCAGGTAGTCCTTTATAGCAGTGTACTTTTTGTTGATCCCATGTGAGAAACTGCATTACACTGAGATAAATCCTCTAAAACAACCAGGCTAATTTACAATATTTGCTCAATGTTTCAATTGCCTTAGTCCCTTTTTTGTTTTAGTATTTTGGCCTTTATTCACCTGCCCCATTCTGGTGACATTGTGTATATATTTGTTTCCTTATGCTTTCAAAATGTTTTTCAGATACATTTTCCCATTTGATAGCAACAATTACCCTTCTAACTATCTTCATTTTGCAAATAAATAGACAAATAGATATACAATGAATTAACGGTAAATCCAAGCTGGAATGTGTGTTTTGTATGGTCTCTTTTCCTACTCTATCATATTTCCTCTTCACTCCATTGCTACATAACAATTTGCCCATTTCCTAATGCAGCTTTTTTTTTTATTGCCAATTTGTTTTATGTCTGTTTATAAAAGAATCTGTGCCTTCTACAAGTGAGTAATTACCAAAGATGAGAGTCAGCTTACAGGTAAAAGCATAGCCTCAAGTAAGACATTTAAGGATAAAATTAAAAATTACAATCTTTGACATAATAATCTACCATTTGCAATTACTGTTTATTTGCCTTTTCCCTTTATGCTTCTGCCAGCCAAGATTAAGTCTGAACACAGTGATTTTAAACACAGGGGGGGCTTGCTGGCTCCTTATCCTGGTTTCATCACTTGGCAACCATGGGAAAATTGTTTAATCTACCTATGCCTCACTTTCTCTATCTGTGAAACGGATATGATGCTAACTAATAATAGCGCCTTCCTCATCTTGCTGAAAACATTGAATTAACTAATGAATGTAGAGTGTACAGCACAGTCCCTGTTACAGTGTAAACTCTAAGTAATTGATGGTTATTGCTTTTGTTGCAAAGTACCCTGAATGTGTTCACATGGATTTTGTTCTATAAAAAGTTATGATTTTGTCAAGAATAATTACCAACTCTTAAGTTCATATGAAAGAAATATCAATATGTGTGTATCTAATTTTCTAGTTCCCTGCCCACTTAAGGTAAACTGCATAAATATTTGTTGAGTAACTTCTATAGACACTTATGGACTTAATTATAGTGGTTCTCAACCAAGAATAATTTTACGCCATGGGATATAAATGGCAATCTCTAGACACAATTTTTATCATTCCCCACTGGGAAGTGCTACTGGCATCTAACAAATTAGGGTCAAGAATACTGCTAACCAACCTAGAATGTACAAGACAGCCCCCACCACAAATAATTTTCCAGTCCCAAATGTCAATAGTGTGGTGCTTTTGAGAAACCCTACTCTATTAGAAAAGGGAAAAGTATGACATCATCACTATGTAGAATCTAGTTAAAAAATGCTTGTCAAATAATGCAATTGCATTTGCAATAATGCCTGTTAACACCAGGATAGGGCTATGGTTATTCCATCTTCAGGACCTGTTGGCTTCATAAGAAGGCGTATTATATGGACATAATTTTATGTTTAGATAAACTACAGTGTCCTTGCAAAATTTGCCATAACGTCATCTTCTTTACACGGGATCTTAACCTTGGTTGATTATGAAAACTTGATATAAAAATTAGTATTATATTTCAAAATACTCTATTTGCCATATTACCTATTTAAGCTACTTCTTGAAGGGCTACAAATTATTATTTCTTTAAATGAAGACTACATAGGAATCTATAGCAGGAATGTTGCTTTAAGTGATGCAGTTAATATGTGGTATTTTTTTCCCCACTTATTTATTTTATTGCATTTTAGGTTTTGGGGTACACGTGAAGAACATGCAAGATTGTTGCATAGGTATTTTAGGTAGATGGTATTTATTGGTAAATTTTCTTTATATGTAGATATAGTCCATTGTCATGTTCAGTTGAATTAAGTGATATTAATGTGGAGGCGACCAATATCAATGCTGCTTTCCTTTGGTTAAGCCATTGTTTGTTGCTGTCGTCGTTGTTGTCATTTTCTTGCTCAAGACAAAATCATTCTCTTTTTTACCTGCTGAACACTTTCCTTTAGCAATCTCAAACTTATGCACCAAAATGGAATTTTGTGTTGGACCTTTCTGATAGATTTTTGGTACGGATAGGTGTGTGTGTGTCTGTGTGCACGTGTGTGTGTGTGTGTGAGTATGTTAAGGTTTCCACTTAAAGTTCAGTGCCAAAGCTACAGTACTTATACATTTTCTAAATGTGTTTTAAGCAATAAGTTGTACAACATTTTTAGAACATGTGTTAAGCTATTTCTCTAAGAATGAAGCTCTTAACAAAACATAAGCACTCTGCATGAGATCTTAGCAGCAAAGTGCTTAAAAGATAAAGTAAGAATTGGTACCATGGGAAGAACACCAGCTGTAGAGCACACAGGTCCATTATGAGAAGTATGGTAGTGGGTAGGGAGAAAATGATTTAATCAGGAGTAAAACCAATTTTATTATAAGGGCACGCAGGGGGTGTGGCACCATAGTGAGAGGGACATTTCAAAATATCTGACAGATTTCAACAATGTGAAAACCCCGTTCTTTAAAGTGACAGTAAACCCCATCAGGTCTCCCTTTTTGATGCTATTGTTAACAGTTGACTGTTTAAAGCTGGCCTGCTAAGATGCTGTCGGCCTATTTCAATAGTGTGTAGCCAAATAAAAGGCTAATTGTTGAAATACAATCAATCAAAAATGATTGCAGGGCAGAAAGAAGGTCTCCTCTGCTGATTTTGTTGTGGATCATATTATTATGTTATGATTGAGGTAGAAATGAAGACTAAAAGGGAAGATTAGCCATCTGAAATAAACAGATTCACCTGCATTTCTTCTCTTTGCAAACACACTGTTGAGCAGGAACACCACTTACTATAAGCCCCAGAAACGATGGTTCTTTTTTATTTTTTTAAAAAAGATCTGCTAAAGGTTTGGGCTAATATTTTTAAAGGACATGAACATTATTAGCAAAACACCCCATGCAGAGAATCCCTACAGTGACAATTCTCAGCTTTTCTTACATTTTTGGTGCAAAATGCTCCTCTGCATTCATAAAACTGACATCCAACGGACATGTGAATGCGAGCCCAAGACATCAGTAAAGAAACAAAATTCCAGTTGACCGAATACCTTGGTGCTTGCCAGGATTCTCAGCTTTTCAGTTAACCCCCAGATTGTCTAAAATGATTAGTTTTTTTATGAAGCCCAGAATCCAAAACCTTTTTCATGTTGCACATTTAGAAAGGCAAATCATCTGGCTCGACAGCAGTGTCTTTGTACCTTGCTTCCTGTTCATTTTATATCAAGATGTCCCTTTCAGACATGAATGCATCTACTTCTTGGGTGAGACTAATTCCAGACTTTCATATTGAGGGTGAAAAGGACAAAAATAATTGCCCAGCACACTTTATTTCTACTAAAACCTTCATTTTCGCATTTACTTTCCTTAATACTTCAACATCTCCACTCACTCAAGCTTCCCTTGCAAATATTTCTGTTGTTTCTAAAAAGAGTTGGTAAGCATTTGTGGTTTGTCTTTAGTGTGTTATCATTTTTGACAGCTTTGCATAGCCTACGTAGGCCAACAGGGGTCTGTCTAATATTGTTGCTGGGCATATTTTCCTTGCTGAGATGAGAATCGAAAAAAAGATATTTTTGAAGCAGTAAGAAAGAATTAATATCCTTTCTCACTCAGTATTCTATTCCTTGCTGACTTTATATTCAGGCAAAAAAAAAAAAAAGGGAAAAAGTGTTACCCATTATTCCCTTGTACATAGCAAGGCTAACACATGTAAAGCAATAACTCATTTTCTATTGCCATGTTTAGCATATGTCTCCTGTTGGCTCAGCAAGGCCTTTAGGCCGGTCCCTTGAGCCGGCCATCATTGGCAACTCTTAGCCCCTCGGCCTCAAAACCAAATAGCTTTGAATCATGTTGAGCTGTGATGCTAATTTTCATACTGATGCATTATGGGAATAAATGTATCTGACATATTGTGTCAATGGCACTGTCTCTTTGTGTCTCTTGGTTTTTTGTTAGCTGCATTCCTACAGATGGTATTCCATTGAAAATGTTCCCTTCCTACGGAAAAAGGGAGAAAAAAAAAACATGCACAGCACCAAACCTCTAGGTGCAGAAGGCTGTTAACGGTTGCTGATGATAGTAGGCAAACATTAACATAATAATTAGTGTCTTGTAATTGTTTCATTAAAACCAGTTGTTCCATTTCTCCTCGTGTTTTCCCAGAAGAGAAGCTGAATTTGGACGACAGCCAGTGGGAGGACATCCACGTTGTCACCGGAGCACTGAAGATGTTTTTCCGGGAGCTGCCTGAGCCGCTCTTCCCTTACAGTTTCTTTGAGCAGTTTGTGGAAGCGATCAGTAAGTACCTCACAAAAAGGGGCAGGTGGCGGAATAACCTGACATCCTGAAATTATTAAGTAAATAATAAGAATGATTATAATAATAATCATGGGGAACAGATAGTATTCCTGATGCTCCATATCTTGCGTTCGTTTTTATGTTTTGATGGCTCGTTTTATTTCTGGCCCTGCAGTATTATCCGAGTTTTTTTTGTTTGTTTGTTTGTTTGTTTTTAATTAAGAAAAAAAATATGACATTCTATTTAGGGTGGCCAATTTAAGCAACCCCAAATGAAAGTAGTGTCTCATCAAATCTGTTTTAAAGGGTTCACATTGTGCACCCCTCATCTCTGCCTTTATACTTTCAGAATTGCAGTGAGTTTGAATACAAAGGGGTCTTGTAACCTACGTAAATTAAATATTACATTTCATGAAATATGTGTTAAATTATCAACTGAAGCATCATGTTCTCTTGGCTCGCTCACACTTCACCCAATAGCACTAGTAAACAGTCAACCACAATTTGCTTATGAGCAGCGTGAATATCAAATTAAGTAATGGCAAGTTTCTTCTTTTAAACTGGTGACTTTATGAGAGAGTGAGTTATGACCAGTAGTCATTGTACATTCCATGAAGCTTCCTTTTCTGCTTTTTCTTTATTCACAAAACACACACACTTAAGTAAAAGTGAATGAATGAATGAATGAATCAGTGAAAATCTTTTCCAAATGCAAGGGTACTTCTGCTATTAATCCTTGGAGGAGCAACTACTGGTACATCTCTAAATTTAATATATTAAGGTATGCTTACTATAACTGTGACAGCTTGGATAAAGTTTCCTGGCAAGCCAGCTGATTTAAGAAAGAAAGAAGAAAGAAAGGTAAAATTAAAAACCTTACAAGCCTTGCAGGAGCTTAATTAAAGTCGTAACGAGACAAATCTCCAACAAAAAAATGCTGTACTCAGGAGGTCTGATCTTGGATGGCTGGGTGTGCAGTGCTCCCATTGGTGGAAGTGGAGATTTGGGGGGACTGTGTTGGAAAACAGCCCCTCAATGTGCCCTTTAATTCTGTTTTTCATTCACAAAGCCTTCACCCTTGTTTAAAGCTCTGGCAAAATGGCATCAAGAAAAATAAATTTTTCTCCCAAGGTCTTTCTCTTATTGACTGCTCACAATTTCAGATTTTTCTCTTGTTGCCTGCTCACAATTTCAGATGTTGCTATTGCTGCTGCGGCTGTTGTTGAATGTACTAACAGTACTCTAATTATGGGTTCTGAGTTGAGGGTGGAACTCTTATCCCTTGTCACGACTCCATCTCATGAGCCCTCTACTTCTTCAGAAGAGCAGTGTTTCATTGTTAAGCAGGCTCTCTTAACTTCATTTGAGAAGAAGAAATAAAGAAAAAATAAACAATCAGGCATTTTCATAACAGCTTTTTCTGATATTCTGTCTTGGAACACCCAAGCAACTTACAGTGTTGGGACAGCATGCTGGTAGGAAATTGGAAGGACTTGAGTTTGGGTACCTACCTCTGATTAGATACATTTAAAGAAGTCATACAAATTTCACATCATGATCTCCACACTTTCAAGTGAGGATTATCTCATTTGGAAACATACTTCGGTATGTGTTCTTTGGGGTTTATAATTAGGATACCCACCATTTAAGCTTCCTGTAGTTCACCTGATTCTAAAATTATTAGGAAATTCTTTTTCTTAGCTTGAGAGATAGGGAAAGCAGGTCCTTAGAACCCACAAGAGAGCATGTCCTTTGAATTTCTCTAAGGAGAAGGATCATCTCAGGGATATTCTAGACTTAAATCCAAATTGGACAGAATTTGAGAAATATAGGCATGGTAAGAACTCAATGTGTCAGAGTTGGGGCAGGCAGCAGACTATTGGGATTGATGACTGTAGCAAGGGTTTTGGCCATCACCAGTAAAATGGGTTATGGTGAAAATGAATGAGAAAGTGCCTAAGAACATCCTTTAAAAATGTAAGAGGGTACACAAACAGTGTTAACAGTGTTTCTCCATGTGAGCTTTGTTTGAGAATGTAATTTGGAAAAGAAGAGAGAGGGGACTTCTTTTTTCATTGTTTAAGGCAAGGAGAATCAAACTCAGTGCTATGGTCTGAAAGTTTGTGTTCCATCAAAGTGTGTATGTTGAAGTTCGCCAAGGTGATGGTATTGAGAGATGAGGGCTTTGGATGAAGACCAGGTCATGAGAGCAGAGCCCTCACAAGTGGGATTAGTGGCCTTATAAAAGAGGCCCAAGAGAAACCTGAATCTTCTTCCACCATGTGATGGCACCACTAGAAGTGAGTGGGCCCTCACTTCAAGACATTACAACTGCTGTCAAATTGGTCTCATACTTCCAAGACTCCAGAACAGTGAGAAAGAAATCTCTGTTGTTTGCTAAGTTTATAGCATTTTTTATAGTAGGCCAAATGGACTAAGACATTCGGAAGCCTTACCTCAACTCACAATAGAATTGTAGAATGTCATTTATTTTTTAATATGTAAAATGGAGGGATCAACCAATAGGGTAATGGGGCTGAGATACATGTTATGATGTTGGACAGAGACATACATTTACTAACCCATGTATTTTTTGTATAACCCTGCAGCTAGTCCTTGTGTTCTAAACCTAGGATAAACTCTAGGTTGTAATTCATATTTAAATATTTTTAATCCATGAGAGAATAGCCACCTAGTTCTTTGGCAATGGTAAAAACTACCCCAGAGGAGATACTTTTTCTCCATGTGTACCAATTACACTAAAAAATCTTTCAAAATTATAACAACATTTCTACCCAGTCTCAGGGCTTTTTCGAAGCTCTTGTAAAAATCTATACAGTGAGAAGCTCAGCAGATCCACCTCACAAGGTTTTGGCTTTATATGAAAAGGGACCAACCAGGTAATGTAAATTCACAGGAAGGGATGAATTGAGGACAAAGAGGCTGGGTTTAGGCCTTTTGTCCTCAGATCCCAGCTCTTCCCTTTTATTCTCTGTACCACAGGAGGGTTGGTCCTAGCCAGCTGTATTTTGCAGACGTTCTTTTTGTTAGTCATAGTTTTTTTTTTTTCGACTTTTATTTTAGACTAAGAAGGTACCTGTGCAGGTCTGTCACCTGGGTATACTGCATGATGCTGAGGTTTGGGGTACAAATAATGCCATCACGTGGGTATAGAGCATAGTGCCCAACAGTTGGTTTTTCAGCTCTTGCCTGCCTCCCTTCCTCTCCCATCTAGTTGTCCCCAGTGTCTATTGATGCCATCTTTATTCCATGTGTACCCAGTGTTTAGCTCCCACTTATAAGTGAGAACATGTGGTATTTGGTTTTCTGTCCCTACATTAATTCGCTTAGGATAATGGCTTCCAGCTGCATCCATGTTGCTTCACAGGACATGATTTCATTCTTTTTTTATAGCTGCATAGTATTCTGTGCAGATGTACCACATTTTCTTTATCCAGTCCACAATCAATGTGCACCTAGGTTGATTCCAGATCTTTGCTATGGTGAATAGTGCTGCGATGAGCATGCAAGTGTTTGGGTTTTTTTCTTAGAACGATTTGTTTCCTTTTGGATCTATGCCCAGTAATAGGATTGCTGGGCCAAATGGTAGCTCAGTTTTAAGTTCTTTGAGAAATCTCCAAACTTGCAAGTGTTCTTGAGATGCTGTTGTACCCAGTCAAAGCCACTGGCAGGAGTTAGCAGAAAGAGAGAGAGTGAAGATGAAGGCCAGCAGTTTACGAGTTTATCCCCGACCTGCTCACACTTGCCACCCATCTGCCTCAAGTGGCATTTCTGCCTGATGCTCCTTCTCCTTCAGAGCTTCAGCTTTGACCAGACAGGCCCCCTCTGGTTTCAGCTCCCTTCTGGTGATGCAGATCCTCCTCTCTTTGCTTTTCCAGCCTGGAGAAGGTAGTAGCTTCCTGGTGTGTCTAATTTCTTGGTTATTTCACTCTTCCTTATCTGGTTCTCAGTTTCTTCATTACCTGAGTAACCAATTCTCTGCAACAAATTAATTCCTTCTGTTGGTGTAAATACTTAAAATGGTTTCTGTTTTTTTGGTTATACACAAGTAAAACCCCATGTAGGTTGATGTCATGGTCCTTGTTGTCATAACATTATTTCCCTTTTCTCTCTTATTACCCCCAAGCTCAGTGTGTGAAGTGTTAACATTTTTATTTGGTTCCAGATTGAGAGATCTGTTACCTTTTCATGGAGGACAGAAAAGGTGGTTAGACCAAAAGGAATTTTGCATGCAACTGGAAAACCTTGCATCTAAGGAGAAAATGTTATTTTTAGTACAATTAATGACCACTGGTGCTGTCTGAATTACTTTATTTTTCATAATATGTTTGAAAATTATCATCACATAGTCCAAAAACAGTGAACAGAAGACATTTACTTTTTAAAGTAATTTATTTTGGGACCAAAAAAAAACAAAACCGTTAATATCATAAGACCTTGCAATTTCCATAGTAATCTCCTGTCTGATAATACTCATTGGAGTAACAAAAACACTAGGGATTGTTTTATATCTCAGAATCCAAGTACTGCAGCTATTGATCTGAAATTCTATACTTGAGGTCAATCCAATTGGGTCACCTGCAGGTTATTTCATGGGGATTTAACCCACTGACTACAAGGACTTAATTCCCTGGAAATGACTTGTGCTGAAGGCATTATTAGTACTGTAAATGTGAACTCAGTAGAAAAGCACAGCCAGGGAGTTTTATGATAGGTGATGCAATCTTGTGGCTAGAGGCCTGCAGGGGACCCGGATATTTCCAGTAGATCTAAATCCTAGGAAATGTACTAACTTTACCTCTGTTCCCATCTTTTTTCTTCTGGTAACTCTACAGATTCAAAGGGAAAAAGATAACAAGAAATGCTTTTTTCTGTTTTAATGTCTGCATTTTTCCAAAGTTCCTGAAAAAGAGAAAGGGAGGAGAAAAACCCATTGGCATTTCTAATAATTGTCCCATTTAATTCTCAAAATAAGAAAGCAGGAGATACTGGAGAAATGGAAAGACCATGTGCACAATAATTTCTGGCTCATAAAGTTACTATGAGAATGAAATAGAACAGTATTTTTCTTACTCCATGTTAGGCACTCAATAAGTGATTTAAAAATAAATAATTTTCACAGTTCTAAATGTACCTGGCTCTAAAAACTAGACTCGGCATTCAGCTACAAACATAAATGCTTTGTATCATTGTATATTGCCTTGAGTAATAGGTATTGCCAAATATCTGTATTTTATGTCATCCTACATAAGACCTCTGTGTCCTATGTCTTCTTATACAAGACTGCAACCATTTTTTTCTGCATTTTAAAAACTGAGTTTAGAATTAAATTAATGCTAAGGAATTTCAGTATTGGAGTTTTACATAGAAATAAAGTAGAACTTTCCAAGAGTGAGTGATGATTCAATGTTTAGTGCTAGATACTAAAAAGATTCATGCCTTAAATGTTGACTTCTCCAAGTACATTTTAACCCTGTACTCTGATTTCTATGACCAGTTGCTTACCACCTCCTTTTGAAATTTATTTTTATGTCCATGTTACTCTTCTATTTCATATGAGTAACTATTTTATTAGGATTCTTATTTATAATTATTTACTTCATCAAATTACAATATGCAACAAACCAAATCTTAGAGAAGTTAGGATGAAAAGCAATAAGTTGGGCTGTATCACTTCATATCCCCTGACCTACTCATGAGAGGAAACCTCATGTAATGATTTTAATTTTTACTTCTTCTGGTTACTCTCATAACTCCAGATAATCTCTCTAGTTTTGATTTATCAACCATGGATAATATTTGTAACCTAATATTTTTTTCATCCTACTCCACTTCTTTTAGTATTTGGTAGCCATATTACTATCATTGAATGCTAAATAGTATGCCTAAATCTCTTTTACTTGTCTCGTCAACATTCAATAATATCTGCTAACTCCTCAGTTCAGAAGGTGACCATGTACTCCTTCCACCATTCCCTTTACCTTTCCTAGTTAATTTTTGTTAATTTTTAATAATGAGGCTTTTTCTAGCCCTACTGAAGTATAATTGGCATACAATGAACTGCACATTTTAAAAGCATAACTTTAATAAGTTTTGACAAATTTATGCACCACAACCAAGATAAAGAACATATCTATCATTCCCCAAAAGTTTCCTTTTAATCCTTGGCAATTCTCTTTTCTTCCCCTTTCCACCCCCCCTCTGCACTCCCATCCCAAGCTACCACTGACCTGCTTTCTGTCACTATCAATATATTTACATTTTCTAGAATTTTATATAAAGTGAATCATACACTATGCACTGTTTTAGCAGAGGACACTTTTTTTCACTCAATATAATTATTCTGAGATTTATCCATGTTATATTAAGAGTTCATTTTTAATGAGTAATATTCATTATTTGAATATAACACAATTTGCTTATCTGTTGATGGACATTTGGGATGTTTCCATATTTGATTGTTACAAATGAAGTATTTACAAATCTGTGAACATTTACGTACAAATTTTTGTATGGACAAATGCTTTTAGTCTTCCTGGTAATACTTAGAAATGGAGAGCTGGTTCATATGGTAGGTATATATGAACTTTTTAAGAAACTGCTACACTGTCTTCCATTGTCATTGCACCATTTTTAAATTCCTGTCAACAGTATATGAGAGTTCCAGTTTCCCCACACCCTCAGCAACACTTGGTGTGGTCAGTGTTTTTCATTTTAGTCATTCTACTTTGTGTGAAGTGGTATCTCGTGGTTTATTTGCATTTTACTACAGATTAATGATAGTAAGCATCCTTTCATTTGCTTATGGGCCATTCTATTATTTTATCCAGTTAAAAAACTTATTTAAAAATTTTGGCTGTTTCTTTGATAATGAGTTTCGACAGTTCCTTATATATTTTCAGTGTTGGTTCCTTATTAAATATAACTTGCCAATATTTTCACCCATTCTATCAGTTTGTTTTCCTTCTTTTAACAGTGCTTTCAGAAAAGCAGACATTTTTATTTTGATAAAGTCCTATTTATCCATTTTGTCTTTTATAAATCATGCTGTGCCTTCAGGTGCACTGATATTACTTTCTTCAACATCTATTCAGTTGTTAGTCTCAGCCAGTGAATTTTTTTTAATCTCAGGCATTGCAGATACTATTTCTAGAAGTTTGCCTTTTAAATATATTCTGTCTCAAAGTGTCTAATTTTTCTCTAGCTGTTTTTGCTTTTATTATTAATTGATGCATAACTATACATATTTATGGGGTAGAATATGATGGTTTCATACATGTATACAAAGCGTAATGATCAAATCAAGGTATGTGAGCTGGCAGTTGTTGATTTGTTGAATTGTAAGTTTCCAAAGTTGCCTATTGTATACAAAAATAACTTTCTTCCCACTCCTGGGCAATGTTCCATATGTTTTCCATTATTAGAAGGCAATCAATGCTAACCCCTTGATCAAAAACTATATTATGGTTCCAATACCATCTCTTTTGTGTTTTTTTCTGGCTTGACTAAGTAAATAGAAACATCAGATGAACATACATAATATATTTTGTGTTTGTATATACATATGAATGTATGTGTGCATAGAACACAGAGATTAAGCATGTCGGTACAAAATTCAGATAGTAATGATATTACGTACAAGTCTTCAATTTAAAGACCACAATCACATATGCCTTTGAAGAGAGTATTTTTTTAAATTCCTGGTTTTTTAAAATAATGGTTAATTAATCAGTAAAACAAGTTGTGAGAAATGGTACCCATAAGATCAACTGAGCATTATTAAAATGCAGACTATTCGTCACCAAAGGTAGATGTTACCCTATGCCTAAGACCTTAAACAAAACTCATATCCCTGTCTATACATCAGTCACAACATCCTCATATAAAAATAATTTAAGTTAAATACATTGCCCTATGGCAAAAAGAACCTATTGCATGTTCTAATGTTTTTCCCCCTAAGGCCTTTATTCCGTTTTGCCTTTAGAGTATGCTTTCAATAGGTAATTGGGAGGAAAAAAGCCAGTCAAGTGTATTTGCAAATATTTTCTTTACTCTTGACTTTATCTTGCCCTTTGGTCAAACTATTTCTGATGCATCATCAACTCCATGATGACACTCTTTGGGAGAAAAGAAACAGAGCTTGCAAGGCACTTGAGTAAAAATGGTTGCTAAACATGAAAGCACAGAAGTGACAAATTGCCTTAAAACCAGAGAAAGTAAAGAGCAGGGTGTAAAGGTTCATCACAGAGAAACCAAAGATGTAAAAATAATGCAGTATAAAAATATCCTCTATTGCACCATTTCAAGGAAATTTGAAATTGAAATAAAGGTAAATTTTACAAAGACTCTCTTTTTAGTGTCCACTGCAAGCTAACATTCTCACAGACTTAGTATTTTTGTTGTGGTTGCTTTTTAATCTCTGTGTGTGTGTGTGTGTGTGTGTGTGTGTGTGTGTGTGTGTGTGTGTATGCAACCTGGAAATTTTATGGCTAATGCCTAACTTGTCTCTTAACTCATTCTAATTATATTCATAATTAAATTGAAAAAAAAAATTTGACTAGAGCCAAATGGCTTGCACAGGTGTCTTTTTGTAGGAATGGTTTAGTGCTAGATAATAAACAACTGGACCTCCAGCTCCTTAATTTGGCTTAATGAAAAGCCCTTTCTAAGTAAAACTAGAAGGTGATTCAGAATTAAAATTGGGCCTTGACTCAGAAATTAATTGAGTGGTAAGACATCAGCTCCATTAGAAAATGTGGTGCTTGTCTTTTTGCTTTTCCTTAAAACTTTTATTTTACTTGCACTTCTTTCTTCCATCTCTTTAAGGTCACTTTTTCAAAGCAATAAACTCTTCAAGCTGAGCAACCAGCCAGGCAGCCTTCATGAGTCAGCTTCCCTGGCATCTTTACTTCTACTGAATAGACCTGCTTTAAAAATATCTATGTAACAAAATGCAAAATTTCTCCTCAAAAAAGGAGTTATCTTGACCTATTCCTCTAATGGTGGGATTGAGTGGCCAGGTTTTTTTTGCCTGTTATCAAGTTCACTGCATCAATAGATTATAATAAAATTGAAGATTGGAAGGTCTTCTTTACCACACAGAGCTCCAGTCTCATTCCTTATGCTTTGCTTGACACCCCATTGTGATCACCAGTGATGATTCTTCCAAAATATCTGCCCGCTGATCCCCAACTCTGACTCAGGCCATCTCTAGGAGAATAGTTTCTCCTATGTCCCATAAAAATTTCTTTGTCTCACCCAACCCAACATGATTCTAGTTCTAAAAACAGGCAAACTGAATAACTGGCTTGCATTTCATTTTGAGAAAAAGCCAAATTCCTTCCAAGGTCTTCAAAGTCCTTTATGATCTGGTCATCCACAAGCTCTCCAACTTCATCATTTACTGTTTCCTGCCTTGCTCATTGCATTCCAGCCCATTAGCACGCTGGCTCTTCTTTGAATACCCCAGCACACTGAAGGTCTTTGACTGTTCCATCTCTCTACTGAAACACACTCTCCCAGATTGCCACTCCCCTGTCAACTCCTCAGGGAAGTCTACTTTCATCAGCTAAGCTCAAGTTTCTGCCTGCACTACACACCACCACCCCCTCTATTCAAATCCTGTCTCCCCCTTTTACTATCTAGACCTAGAGCAAATTTTTAATCTCTTTTGTCCTCCATTTCCACATCGATAAAATGGAGGGAAAAGTTATATCTTCACCACGGCAATCAAAAAAAGAATGTCAGGAAATGCACTTATTTACAGAGTCATTGGCACACAGTATCTAGTAAATATTTGCTGGTATTATATTATAACGCAATCAGAGTGTCCTTTAGATAACAGCCTCAGAGGACCTTGCTGTCCATTCTCACTAATTTTTCCACTTCTCTGGTAAAGCTATTTCAAATTATATGTCTTAAAGCAGCCATCTTCATTCTGCTTTAATATTTTGCTTTGAGAATTCCACGCAGCACCAAACATGTTTAAGATAATATAGGATAGTCTCTTGCTTCATAACCCAGGGATCCCATTTTTTTTTTTTATCTCATGACATCCCTGCTTTGTTCTGCCAGCCCTTCCCAAGCCCAACTCCACTTGGATGGTCCAAAGCCTATTGCTTTATTATAGAACTTACACCGTCATCATAACCGAGATGCTATCCAGCTTCTCCGACCTGAGCCTGCCTTGTTTCTACTATGTGTTACCGAATCTGTGATGCTCACAGTGGCATCAGAAGAGCCAACTCCAAAGTGATGCCCTCTCTCAGTTGGGAAATTTGTAACATTGTAGATCCCAAAATGTTCAAATTTATCAACTAAAATGATCAAAGAGTTATTAGCTGAACACAGGGACAGACACACACACTCATTCTCCAAACTGGAAATATGTCACGTTTTCTTTCGGTTGCCACACAATATTCTAGCTTTAAAATGTAGACTTTAAAAAAAAAATCCTCTCAAAAGAACTTTCATATTAACCTCTCATGAGCTTTTTATTTATTTATTTATTTTTAATTTGTTGTAGAGTCAGGGTCTCACTATGTTGCCCAGGCTGGTCTCAAACTCCTGGACTCAAGCAATCCTCCTGCCTCAGCTTCCCAGAGTGCTGAGATTACAGGCCAGAGTCACCAGGCTGGGCCTCATGTGCTATTTTCAAAGCCTGTTATGGAATAAGAATTGATTCTTATCAGTTGTTTCTCTTGTTTGCCCACATTCAGCTGGACTTTCTCATTCGCTCAAGCATTTGTCCTTTCTCCAGCCCTCCACCTCTCTGTCTGTCAATAAAAGAATTTTCCTGAAATAGCTTCTAGGACTATCATAAGCTCCTTGAATTGTGGCGTTTCTTCAACTGGCTCATTCCTATTGCTCTGCAGAATTAAATATTAGATGTGATGGCTCCTGGAGTACTGTCAAATTCCCAGGGGAATTCTGCTCATGTTGGAACAGTGGAATATCTGCACTGAGAATTGCCATGTGGTTTAGAGAATGGAATTTTTCTCTAGGGATAGGCTCATACATTTTTACATACACTGTGGAAACCAGAAACATGGAAAATGAATGCACTGTTATAGAAAATGTGTAGTGGCGCTGGTGTTAAGAGTAAAAGCGATATGTTTGGAAAGATGACGGCAGACATATATTTTTCAAACCATGAACTATAAAAATATTATATTGGATAATTGAGGGTTTTCTCTTTTTGTTGGTTTATTTATAGTTTTCTAATTAATGTGTACTTTCCCCCACTTCCATTTCATTACATACAATGCCTTTATTTTTCAGAAATTATAATTTAAAAAGATCAAATACCTAAAGCTTAAGTCCATGATAACTGTCTAGCCAGACAGTTAGTTCTTGGCCCCTTTCCTTTTCCTTCTCACCTTGAGTGTCCAGCAGGTGAAAGGTTGACCCTTTCACATTTCCAGCCCCTTCCTCTGCCAAGTAATGGATGGGCAGATCTAATTAGTACCATCTGTCCCACTAGTTGCAGGTGGTCACTGTCTTACAAAGAGATGAAAGCAACAATCTTTTGAGCTTTTCTTCCAGGTTCCTAACTCCAGGCACAATGGTAACATTCTTCTTTGACACCTTGTATGTATTATTCTCTGAATATCTAATTGGTACCCAAGAAGAAACCATTACCTCATTGAAATATTCTTTGAAAATTTCTATGAATTTGTGCCATGTTATGAAAGTGTTTTAGAAAAACTCGTCAGGAAAGAAGAATGATCCTGAGCAAATACTGGACCCAGAAAGATCTCAGAAGCTCCTGTCTGTAAGCTTGGAACTGTGATGCTTAGAGCTTCTGAGAGCTGGACCCCCTGTGTTAGCTGAGTAGAAATCTCTACCAATGAGAAGGACCAGCCAGAGCACAACTAGAAAAACCACATTGGTTAATGTCAGATTTCCAGCAGGATCTTTCTCTAGCAGCTCCTTAAGTATTTTTAAAACACTTAAAGTGTAACCTGCAGAGCCTGTTTGGTGTTCTCCTTTCTTCCTCGACACTTTCAGTAATTTACCATGAATCAAAGTTTCCAGACACTTCATCACCAAGATCACACTCCCCCAAATGTGCTTTTCTAAGGTTTGGAAATTGTCTCAGTCAGATCAGGAAGCAATAGCAAAATACCAGAGACTGTGTGGCTTAAACAATAGACATTTATTTTTCACAGTCCTGGAGGCTGGAAGTCCAAAATAAGAGCACCAGCATGGTCATTTCCTCCTGAGGGCCCTTACCCCGGCTTGCAGATGGCCACCTTCTCATTGTGTCCTCAAATATAAGAAAGAGTGGGCTCTAATCTTTCCCTTTTCCTATGAGGGCACTAATCTTACTATGAGAGTTCCACTCTCATGACCCTATCTAAACCTAAGTGCCCCTTAAAGACCCTACTCCAAATACTATAATATTGAGGGTTAGGACTTCAACATATGGATTTTGGGGACAAAAACATTCAGTGAATAAGAGAAATCATACTTCAGTGGACTGTTTTAGGTGTACAACTTTATCAGTACAGAATAAAATTTCCTCTTATGGTCTCACAATATCTTTCTATTACTGTGATATGAGATTTGATTTTTTCTTTATTAATATTATACTATCAGGATCCGAAATTGAATTTATAGTCCAAGATGTCATTTTTACCATTTTCTTTCTCAGATAAGTTTGTACACTTTTAAACTTTCATGCAGAAATGTGCATGCCATCTTGTACCATTGTACGAGAGAGTTTTGCTTTAAGTTTTGCATACTCAGAAAATTTATGTCACTTGAGTCTCATAACAACTGGAACTGGAACCAAAACTCACTTTTTAACTACAAATTCATTGAACCTTCCTTCTAGTATTATGATATTTACAAACCTGAGCGGTTTGTCTTCCAAGTCCACATTTACATCCTCAAATACATTCAAGACCAAGTAAGACAAACTGCAAGATCATTTAAAACAATGGAGCAGTTAGAGACAAAATCTTGCAACATTTCGGGGAAGAACTTCAAATATCGTGTCAATAAAAAACTTAGAGAAGAGACACTCCAAATTTAAAAAGTGCAGTTTTCTAGATAGTTGGACAACATTTAGAAAGAATTTGAATCATAAATACTACAACCTATTAGAGTAGTGGAAATATAAATAAACCCCATAATGCCCATATGATCATAATTCCAATTTATAATATACTAACCATACTTTCACTTACATGTAGCCAATTGCTATATGTACATTTCACAATTTAAGTTCATTTTTATAATACTCCCTTGTGGTCAGTATTATTCCTATTATTTTCATTTGGGAAATTTAGACTAATCAGTATTAAATAGCCTCCCTGAGTCTACCAGTTGGTAATTTGCAGAGCTAGAATTTGAACCCATAATTGAAAAATTCCAAAGGTGCTACTCTTCACCACTCAACTACAGTTTTTGACCAATTTAAACAAAGTGATTAACAAGTGTCTATTTAGAAATGAGATAATTGGTAGATTTAGATGTAGTTCAGATAAAGGCTGTATGTTGTTAAAAACTACAATGAGGGAAACCAAACAGAACACAATTGAATTTCTCTGCTCATACACATGGTCTCAAAACCTCATTATTAAGAAAAGCTTCCATCTTGACTATTTAAAACAAATTCAACAATTTTTTAATTGCTTTATGTATCCAAGGCAACATTATAGGTACTCATTCTTGCGGCTAGATCACTGGAAAAAATTTTAAAAGTAAAATACACACCAGTGAAATTTAAACACACCTAGCAGATGGAGAAGGCTAAAGGGTAAGTAAATTTATTTGCAACAAACATTTAATTTATCTTTTAGGAATGTTAGCTAAGAGCACCTATTTTGTGCAGAATGCATCACTAGAAGAAAACAACAACAATCACTTTAGCAATAAACTCCCCATATTCCAAATGCTTAAAGGTAGAAAGAAGGCATTATATCCTTATTGCAATCCCCAGCAAGTGAATTAGGAAATGATATTGTAAAATTTCTTACAACTTTTATCATATATGTTATTTAGTTAAAAGGTGAAGCTATAGCAAAGTGTCACTTCATCCCTCATGTCATGTGCTAGAAAAGTATTTTCATGGAGTCTACAAAATAAATCCATTATTTCAAACCTCTATACCCATAATAAAAAGAGCCCAATTATAATTAAAATACTAATACTGTGTCTACTTACATTCAGTGGTATTCTACTTTTTTAAAAAATGCTTAACATCTTTGTTAAAACATAGCAAACTTGCAGAATAAGACCACAGATCTTAATAGGATTGTAAGACTATTTTTAGTTGGGAAATTTTTTAAATGAAATTTGCTTTTCAGGCTTGTATGTTTGTGACTCCTTTTTTCTGGCAATTGTAAATTTTCTCTACTGAGTTCATTACAAAACTGAATATAAGTTGTCTCGTGTCAAAGTACAGACCCATGTAATGTTGTTTTATATCTGTTTATCTGACATAAGCTTCTCTGGAATAGGACACATGTTTTACTGATCTTGTAGTTCTGGCACTAAATGAATTTTTAAAACAATGTGCTCTGTGGCGGTTGTTTCATGTAATTTCTCTCTGAACAATCCATAGTAATTAGCAGCAATGATCCTACACTACGGAAGTAGGGAATCAGAAGGAAGAGGGTAGAGAGAAGGTGAATGGCAGAGGTGGAAACAATGCTTAATTCAATGCATTTTGTTGCCAGTAAATTCAAGAATTAACTGCTTACGTCTCCCAAATATTTCTATCTGCGTTATGAGCTCTGTTACACAGCTACTGCCACAGGACTAGGTGGACTCTAACACTCACATTTTTTACATGTCAAAGAAGTATTACTACTACTTAATTTCCAGAAATTTCATCTTGGTGGTTTAAAAGTTTATGAGAAAAGATGGGAAAAATTAAATGAGCGAATCAAGTCTTTTGACCAGGCTAGTGAACTTTCGCAGTCTTGAAAGTGTTACCTGAACTTCTGCTAGTACGACTTGCCAGCCTTAAATGCAGAGCAGTGGTGGAGAGAACAGTGAAACTGTACTATAAAAATAAATTACTGTCATGAATATTAAGCAACAAGAATATAATAAACATGACTGTTTGCATGATTCTGATTTATTGGTACTGATATGCTTATAAATTATGACACTAAGTGTTTATTCTAGTTGTTTCAGAATATGGGCCAAACAAAGCTGGGTGGACACTTCCTGCAGACCTGACCATCTGCCACCAAATTCCTACTTCACCGCTCGTGTCGTTGTGTTTCTTATGTCGATGGCATCAGGACCATGTGTAAACAACCATTCCCTTTTAGTTCACTTTGCAGACTGAAGTAGGTTGCCCTTCCAGGACCTGGTGTGACAACCATCATCCTGAAGTTTGTGATGTCTTGCAGTGGAACAACTCCAGCTGCAATGCATCCCAAAGGCTGTTCCAACTTACACTGTTAAACAATGCTCACTTTTGACATAAGAGGGTCCATTACTGTATTTATGAACTTCTTGGCACCAGATTGGGGATTTCCCAATGCTAAGCAGCACTGCATTTTGCATACTTGCTTAGAGGTGGGTGTTCCATAAAACTGGTGCTGAGAGGTTAAAGACCTAAAAAAAAAAAAAAAAAAAAAAATCTTGTATTCATATAGAGTACTTCAACAGCCATAAGATAACTACACAAGTAGCACAATGTTCTTGCTAATATCCACAAGTAAAAGTAAGATTTGCCATTGGTTTTAATTGACATTATTTGGAATCAGATATTTGTTCAACAGATGGCAAGAATAAGGTATCACACAAGAAAATAGCATTCTCCTGCTTCAAGTTTTTAGCTTTCATGTTACATTTAATCAAAGGTTACTTCAGGAGATTAATTATTTTAAAATCTTCTTTTCTCTAACGTTGGTGGAAATCTGCAAGGAAGATAGCCAGTAAATTTATAGTAAGCTTAACAAAAGATGTAATTTTCGCATAAAGTATTCTGTAAGGGTAAAAGTTGCTGCTACCTGTAAAGAACGATTTATGATATAAACTTAGCTATAGATGAAATGCCAAAGTTCACAATGAGGCAAGACTTGTTACAGCTTTAAATTGGAACTCTTAGAAAATTCATAGAAGGACTTTTGACTATATTTAGCAAAGGGCTTTAAAATGTGCATGCCTTGTACTGGCAATTATATGTCTAGAAATTTATCTTAGGAAATTTTCAGAGATATGCACAAGGATGTGTACAAACTTGCCCGTCAAAATGTTATTTATAATAGTGAAAACCATAGAAGTATGTGCACAAACTTAGGGAAGGTTAGATTATGCCCATTTATATAATGAAATACTAAGTTATTGCTAAGTTGTGCTATAGAAAGCATTTTACTTCACAAGGTAAAACGCCAATAAATATTACGAGACTACAGTATGATATGGCATGTATAGTATGAGCCTATTGTAAAATATGTTTGTAAATATTTATATGTAGAGAAAACAATGAAAGGATTTACTTAAAAACATTGGCAGGTAATGATTATATAGCCTTTGTTTCTTCATTTTTTTGTTTTTCTGTGTTCAAGTTTCCACACTATTATTAAGTATTTGTAGTGATTTTTTTTAAGTGTAAGAAGAAGGTGAGTAGACGTTGTTGGAGGGGATTTCAGAATCAGTTGCTCGAGGGCCTCTCATACCTGGCTTTTTGACCCAGCTCACCTTTGTAGAAACAGATTCCTGGACCAACCCAGATAGGTGTTGATTCGTTATGCCTCGGGTGAGGTTTAAACGTGTTTTCTAAAGAAACCATGAGCAAACCCTTAGGTGATCCTGGCGACAGTCACATTTGGGACCCATTTATTTTGGTTCTTTTTCCTTGATGAAGCCAAATAAGAGAAGAGCAGCTCTTTCTACTTGTAGTATGTTGATATCACAGCATCTTGGTCTGAGCCATGCTGTATGCTCCTCGAGGAGAGTACTGAAGAAGTAATAGGTATATACCCTGAACTAGAGAATAACATGTGAGCACATATGATCTAGCAGCACAGTGAATGATGAAGACAATAAACACTCTACAGAAGGGAAAGACAAAAATGCAGTGTTTGGGAAGACTCCATGAAGGAGGCATTAGGAGTATATGGAGTTTGAAGAGCCAGCCAGGAAATGTTGGCTCCAGCCAAGCACTGACTCCAGCCCTGAGATGAAGCTGCTGTTTTGTGGAAAGTGAGGAATCTGGGTTGAAGGCAGCAATGATTTTGGAGACAGCAGCACAAAATAAAGGAGAGCAGATACAGTTAATCCAGTATTATGAATCCTTGAAGGCAAAGCAGCAATTCTGTATCCTCCTGCCTAGCTTTGTACTTTCCACAGAAAAGGAATTTAGTAAATTCTTGGTCTATAAATTAACTAATTAATTGCAGAGAATTCAATACTGCCTATGGTTTAAATTTTATGCTGCAGGCAGGGAAAACTCCATTAAAGATTTTTGAGAAAGGTAGTGGAAAGCAGAAACTCATGTGTTGAAGAAAATAATGTGGTGATAATTGTTAGGATATGTTTAAGAGGAGAAGGGAAGCAGGAAACCCCATCATGATTTGGCACCACATTTGGCTATCACCCAAGTATAACCTTAGGCAAGTGACCTCAGTGCTCTGGGACTCATGCATGGATATGCCTCAAGAGGCTCATGCACCACTCCCCCAGAATATTGGCCAAACTGTGTACATGTGCATCTGTGTATTTTCCGGAGCAAGATTCCTAGATGTGTGACACCCTCCTCCCCAAAAAAAGTTATAGAATAAGTGTTACTCAAAGTGTAAAGACTGGTAGCATCAGAATCACCTGGGATCATGTTAGACTGTATATTCTAGGTCCCCACTCCAGACATCCTTTATGACAACCAGTGAAGATGGAGCCTAGAAATCTGTTTTTACAAGCTCTCCAGGCTATTCATATGCAGGCAAAAGTTTAAGAAGCATCTAGTAGCTCGGTTACATCCAAGGTGTTTACCAACTTAAAAAAAATGACTATTTTGCAAAAGAGTAAAAGGAATAAATGAAGGAAAAGAAGAAACCATATGTAAAAGATTACAAGAAAGAAAGTTGCAATGATTTAACGACATCTCAGATAAACAATCTGGGAAGAAAGAGATGGGTTAGCTTTTGAAACTAGTTAACCATGAGGATAGAAATGTACATGACAGAAATTCAGAAGCTATGTTGATGAGTTGTTTTACACACAGTAGAAAACTGAATCAAACACAAAGCAGCAGTCAGATGATTCTTCTTACTGGCATTGTTTCTACAGACAGAATCTGGACAGTTGTAGGGGCAAAAAGGTACAATATATTTTCCTTACCCATTTTGAGGGCCATGGCTGACACCCCTATAACAAAAGAAAGATTAGCAAGAGGAAAGCATAACAGATTTATTTAAACAAAAATGTGATACAGGAACTTTCAGAAATGAAGATCCAAAGACCTAGGGAAAATTGTGCATTTTTATGTTAAGGTTTAATAAAGAATGAAAAGACATGTAGAAATGTGGTTGGACAAAAAAATATGATCTAATGGTAATGTTTGTTCAGGCCTGTTTGTTCAAATTCTTTTCTGTGTCTCTGTATGACATTCCTTCCTCTGGGTAGAGGGCAGGACACCTGTCACATCAGGGGAAAAGAGAGAAAGTCAGAGAATGACATTTCTAGGTTTTATGACTTGTTTTGGGGAAGAGTTCTAGTTTATATGACCAGCTTCTGGGGAGAAATTAGAGGAGAAAGGAGTGCAGGCAAAGATCAGAGAGAACTTTTTGCTTCTGAGGCCCTTCCAACTCTTCTTCAGTTCAAAGTACTCAGTGTGCCAAAGGGCCATACTTAGAGGTGTAGTGTTCTGAGCCCCAACACAATTCATTGTATCTTTGTGCTGCAAGGAATTTGTTCAAGATCACCCAACTGAATCTTTACAGCTATTGGAACATTGAATAACCAGTCAGAAGTCGACAGTGGTGAGAATAAAAGTTTGACCAAATCAATGATACCAAGATATAAATTGCTGTGTGTGTGTGTGTGTGTGTGTGTGTTTGCAGAAAAATATTCAATCCTAAAACTGGGATTCCCTCATGTGAAAAATATAAATGTGTATGCATGTTAAGCCATTTTAGTTCTAGTCCTCATTTTAAGTGTCTGAATAGTTCTTAATAAGTTACATTGACTTTATAGCACATACTTTTATCTGAGCATGTCAGTGACAACTCAGGCCCCTTCTATCTGCTATCCAAATATAGAACAGAAAGTATAGAAAACTGTATGTTGGGGGACAGCTACTGCCATGTAATTATGAAACCACTTCATACAATGAGCATGTTCAGAATAAGAGTAAATGATTGGATGAATATGTACAATGCAAAATTCCTATTTCGTAAGTTTGAGATTGCTTTTTAAACAGCATTAAGAAGTAATCAAAAATGGTTAATTGAACAGGCAAAAATGAACTTTGGCTAATTTTGACATAAGCTTTTCAGCTCTGCAAGCCAAAAGTTATCTTTAAAGTAAATGAAACCAACTCCTTTAATTCAAGAAAGAGAAGATAAGCAGATTGAAAAGAACTTTTAAATCTAAGTCTACACTATCATTAAGTGTACTTAGATTTGCACTGTGTAATTATTATGATTGTAGCAATTAATCAATCAACTGATTAACATATAGGGTCAGCAGGATCCAGTGATCTTATCTTGAAGCTTGAATTAATTAATTACACTTTTTTCAACATTATTATTTTCTATTTGCGTACCCAGTTTGTACAAGTTGCCCCTTATTGACAAAATGTGGTTTAGTCTCTGTACTTAACACAGCAGGTATGAGCACTCACTGAGGTACTTTTGCTCATATAAAGTCAGAATTATAAGGAAACTAAAATATTGTCAATACTTTCTTAAATAATTGTTTTTTGTTATTTTTCATTATCAAATACATAAATTATAAAAATTAATAAGATTCTTTTAAATGGTAGAGAGCATAAGATCAAATAACTTGTCTGAGTAAGTCAAATGCAATAATACATTGAAGTATCATATAATCAGTATATTATTCAGGAAATTCAGCTTATATTGTAAGAAATGCCCCAACCTGCACCTTGAAAACAAATGCTTTTTAAAAAATATTTTTAAAATAGTTTCAAATACGAAATCTCTTTTGCAGAATCTCTTTTGCTAAGTATTTGCAAAATGTACAAAATGGCATTATTCCCATTCATTAGATGAGGAAACTGAAGCAAAACACATGAAGTGGTTTGTCCAGAGCCTCCCAGATAGCTATTCCAGCAGTAATGGAATTGAAAAGCTCTTTCACCAAATATGTACTGAGGACTTTTTCAGCACGCACTAATGTTGAAAGTAGAAACAGTAAGATGAACAGGGCATGGTGTTGCACTCAAGAAATTCACAGTCCAGCAGGGGAAACAGACATGTGATGAGATATTTACAAGTGCAGCACCATAATAAATGTATGAAAGGCTGCGAGAGCAGAAGGGTAAGAATGTCAGTGCATTCTTCTATTCTATTGCTCCTGGTGTTTCCAATGACACTCTTGATGGAGTTGTTTCATATGAAAGAAGGTGGAATGCAAAAAAAAAAAAAAAAAAAAAAGATTGTGATATGAGACCTGTTGCATATGCTAAAGCTGCTTTTTTTTCCTTCTTTTTCCTAGAAACCACTTATTAGCAGGGCCTGTCTCAGTTGGAGGCTCTGCCTTTTTGCTTACAGACTGTCTGACGCCTTTATAAAGTGGGCCACTGCATTGTTGATTACTACACACCAGGGTGGTCTGCGAGCCACTGTTTTCTGCCACCCCACAGTGAGACAGCATCTTCTGATGTTCTGGTCTCATATGTCCTTAGAGAACGGTTTGTGTTTCCTAAGAAGCTTAAGTCTGGATGATTTACATGTAACATTTTAAACTCCAGTTGCGTAATGCCTTGACTGGGATTTATATATTCTGAAAACAGTTTTTCAGTTCTGTATATGACAGTTAGTATGTATTGTATTATCTACTCTCATTTATCTATGAGACCAGAGAAGGGATGTGACCCACAGTAATGGGGATCTAAAAAGCCTGTCCTCTCCTGCAAAATAACATCATGCAGTAGATGCTCTGACCACATACTATAATCTCATAATCAAATGATCAAGTGCTTGTCAATCCAAATAAAATATGTTTAATTTTGACTTAAAAAGAAAAGGAAACCAAGAGTAGCAATTGGATTAAGACATGAAATGGTCAGTTTCCTTCTGCCTGCATTGAGTTTATTTTCCCCACGTACTCTTTTGCTTTTCTTTCAAGTGAAATGGCATATTTTCTGGATGTGAGAGTTCATCAAATGATTACAAAAAAAAGTCAAAAAATAATTCTAATCTGTGAATGAAAAATGGACATTGATACTTACCTTCATAAGTATTAAAAGAAAAATAATACATGAAATTCCATAGAATTGTCCTATCATGCTATACTGACTCAAACCCGAAGACCTACAGTATGATATTACTAATATAATACATGTGGTGGGTGTGAGTAAACGTGTGTGTGTGTGTGTGTGTGTGTGTGTGTGTGTGTGTGTTTTATCATTGCCATAGTATAAAATAGTTGAATCAGCTTCCACTTGACTAGATGAGAGCTCTTAGTTCTTATTTTGAAAGCAATCAATTGAGCATGGTTAATTAGGATATCACCAAGTAGTTAAAAAAAAAAAAAAAAGGCTCTTATTAGAAAGTATACTTTAAAATCTGCTCACACTACACTGCTGATCGAAAGATTATGGAAAGTATACACCAAAGCAGGAGTTGTTAGGTGCTTTCTGCACAAACACATTTTTCTTCAATTACAACAAATTATTATAGTTATTTTATGTGGTACTGCAGGGTTGCCTTTATGTGAATCGTTGAGTTATAAACAACACATTTCAGTCCTCCAAGCAATAATTGTAAGAGGACAAGCCAAAAAGATCTCATTTGGGGGAAAAAAAGTAATCTTTAATTCTACTCATTCTGTCAGAGCTCTTTTATCTCAATTTACAAATGTATATCACTTTAAATAATGTTAAATTACAATGAAAATTCAAAATAACTAGCAATGTTAACTAGCTAGCCAAGATTTATATTGTGTCATTTTATTCAAGGTATGCCTTTCACTTAGTGTCTCAGTGTGAGAAATAAATTAACTTTTCTCATTAATATGGAAAATAAGAATGGTTTCCATATTTTCACACACATGCCCTCTTCATTGTATTTTGATGTGTATAAGATTCATTTCAAAGCAGGTCCAGAAAGCTAGCAGCCTAAGAGGGCTGAGTAATACTCAGAATATCATCCCATTCAGAGGGTTGATATTCCAGCACCCAGCTTGTTCCCTACATTTATTAATAAGCTCAATGGGAGTCCTCTTAACCCAGGGCTAGGTTGAGCACTTGCATGATTTGAGGTTTTCAAACAAAAGTACAAAAGCAAAATGCTCATTCTGTCCTAATGCTTAGATGGTTTCTTGTTACTCAAGTTCTATAATTTAAACTTTAGCCTTCTTTCATGAATTAATTTAAGAGTTATTGTGTGGCAACCATTGAATGAAGAAAGTATCCTGTAATTTGTGTGCTTAAATGAAGAAACATACAAATTTTAAAATTTTACGTGCATCCCCTAATTGTTCAAGTAATAATATTAGGCAAATCTAAGTGTTAGTAGCCTACAGGGTAACTCAGACTTGGACCTATATTATTTTTTCCCTCAGAAGATTCTAACATTTTCAAGAAAATTTGCTGGGTGTTTTTATGTCAAGAATAAGAGTGATTTGTTCCTCTTCTCATTTGGGAACTCAAGAGAATAAGACTTGGATCTACATGTTGAAGCTGGACATGTCAAGTCCTTGACTATTCATGTCTACTAAATCCTTGGGATATTTTGGGGTTTTCCTTCCCTCCCCTTCACCATTTGTTATAAAACTACTTCCATTTATCTGAAAATAAGTGTGAATCTAGGTAAAAATCTAAGTAATCAGAAATAATAGCTTTAAGTTTTCAAATGAAAAGAGTTGCCTTGTATCCAATATGACAGCAGAGGTTTCCACCATGCCCTGTAATCACAAATAAAATTTCCTGTGATTTTCACACAATCAGTTATTTCAAAGAAAATTATTTGCTCATAAAGATGTATTGTTGGATGCACATTTCTATATCTTCATCTCTTATTTCTATTATTATTGTTTTTGCTATTCTGGGAGTGAACAGTAAGGCAGTCCTTGCAGTAAAAGAGGGTCATGTCTCTATGAATATAATGACATAGTGCAAACCACACTTTGAGTTTCAGGCCAAGTAATTTATAAGCAAGTCAAAAGATTTCTCTGGTGTTATGTTATAACCCCTAGTCAATGTACTCACGGAGTCTTAGCATAGTCAAGGTTATAGAGAACAAGGCATTTTCTAAAAATTGCTCTATTTCTCTATCAAATACTGTAAAAAAGCAAAGCCTTTCTCTCTCTCAACAAGCTTAATTTTCTTCTATTTCATTCATCCTCCTCATTATCAATGTAACCAGTTAAGTAACCAGCATGTGCTTCTATATTTCGATGTTTGCTGAAGAAACAAAACACTGAAAATCAGATCTCTTGTTCATTTCAAAACAGTCCTCAAATTCTCCTTTGGACAAGAAAAGAAAACTTTGGAGAAATTGACATCTCAGTCCCTGGTTAGGATGTAAATATGGAAGTGCAAAATGGCATTTTTAAACAAAACTGCTTTTCTGACCGTAACTGAATTTTCACATTGTCAGCACTTCCATTATAAACATTTTTTTTTAGTTGGGAGTTTATAACGCAAATGTAAAGATTTGCTATGGGCTAAATCTCAACCCAAGAGCAAATGTTTATACCAATTTTGAAAACAATCAGCTTGCCCATTTGTAGTTATGCATGTGTTCATCATCTGTTATTGCTTGTCCAATGCTCTCCAACTTCTGGGAGAAAAAGCAGACATCTGGAGAGAAGAAACAATGTTTGCTCTCCAGCAGATGTAGTCTGTTTTCCACAATCATTGAATAACAAAGATATCGAACAAATGTGTGCCCTTTAATACAAGGAAATGAAAATGACAAGATTCTGCCTGCCTGCCAATACTGTGGAAATGCTAATTGGGCAGTCTATGAATTGGTCACTTTGGATGACTAGAACTCAGGGTTCTACCCATTTTACAGATGGAAGTAACTAGTATCTAACATGAATGACAGCAGTGAAATGCTTCCTCCTATAAAATACATTACATTTCAGGGATTGCCAGAGTAAGTGAAACATAACCATTTCACTGAAAACTGTTTTTACTACAAATGTTTAATATTTTTCAAAATTTTATAAATTATTGCTTGCCTTCCAGTTTGTTGGAGTTTTTTGTTTTTTTTTTTTTTTCTTTTTTTAAACTCAGTCAGGAAACTAAGTAGTCAGTTAGTACCCTCGGGGGGAAAAAAAGGATAACTCTAAAAAATGTTATCTAGCTATGGATCCTGATGGACTGAGAGATCGATGCTGGGACTCTGCAGATTTTTTTTTCTCCAAAATGATAACATTTCAGTAGGTACTTTTTATTACCTACCTGAGGTGGCACCGTGATTATTCAAAGGGTAAGAATGATTTACCAAGAAAAGAATGGGTTGAGAAGTGATTTAAATTCCCCTGGTTCAGGCCCCAATTAATTCCACCGCATCAAACAAGTCATGTGTCCTCTCAGATCCGTAGTCTGCCTCTTTAAAGTGGGATTATTGAATTAAGTAATCTGTAATCATCTTTTCTGGCTCTAAAATGTGACCATTTTATGGTGCCATACCTTACAGTACTTTCCTCAGATGTTTGCAGTTCCTTAGTGAGCCAAGTCTTTCATCTGATTTTCCCATAGTGTCGGGTACTCCGCTGACTAAGTAGTCTCAAGATGAAAAGCATAGCCAAAGGAAGGAGACAGGACAGCACCTTTGCCTTGTTTTGAGGAGAGTAAAACTAAAGATTTTTATACATGGCAAATCCTGATTGTCAATACAATTCACTTGGTATTGCTGGGGTTTCTGTAGTACTGAAAAGGAAATTAAATTCTTGGCTTAATTTGTCAAATCTATATGGTGGCAGTTAACATACCTCTCTATTTGGCAAGTTTTGAAATATAATGTATTTTAAATTTTAAATATAATTTTATTACAGCCGGGTGCAGTGGCTCATGCCTGTAATCCAGCACTTTGGGAGGCTGAGGTGGGCAGATCATGAGGTCAGAAGTATGAGACCAGCCTGGTCAACATGATGAAATCCCATCTCTACTAAAGATACATAAAATTATCTGGGTGTGGTGGTGGACGCCTGTAATCCCAGCTACTTGGGAGGCTGAGGCAGGAGAATTGCTTGAACCCGGGAGGTGGAAGTTGCAGTAAGTTGAGATCACGCCATTGCACTCCAGCCTGGTGAAAGGGCGAGACTCAGTCTTAAAAAAAAGAAAAAAAAATTTATTACCAAAATCCTTACAGTAAAATATTATCTTCAAAATTAACTCTAGAATGTGATTACATAGCATTCATCTCATGGTTCTTTTTCAACCAAATCGGCACATTCCCATAAGTTGTGCACTTTTGCTGTGCTAGAGATACATTCCCATGGTGTCCTAGATGACTACTGGAGGAAAATCCTGTATCTCAAAGCACTAAGTGCATTGTTTATACATAGGACCATCAGTTACTTATGTCTTGACATCAACAGAAAAAGTCAACTGCAACGAATTCACTGAAATATAGGTTTCCTAGTCTTATCCAGAATAAAGCTCAGAGTGCATTTAGGTTTGTTTGCTATTGAGTGTGTTCATTTTCAATAAAAGCTATAGTAATAAAAAGGTTAAATTGTTCTGTATTGAAGTGCTTCATACAGATTTCTATCATCAAAATCATGAGCACAACTTTTACCCCCAAAGGCTTCTTCATGCTTTTCATAATTCCTTTCTTCCACTCCCTGGTTCCTGCCCCATAGCAAATGATTTTTTTTAATCTGGTTTATTTTATGTAGAACAACTTATTTTAAATTTGATTAATGCTTTTGTTGTGTATCAGTGATTTTATTGCTAAGTAGCTTTCCACTGTATGGATACAACAAAATTTGCTTATGAATTTATTTACTTGTTGATAGACATTTGGATTGGTCAGTTTGGGGTTATTACAAACAAAACTGCAATGAATACTTGTGTACAAGCCTTTAAATGAACATATGCTTTCATTTCTCTTGCATAAATACTAGGAGTGGAATGGCTGGCTCATATGGTAGATGTATATTTAACTTTATAATTAACCGCTAAACTGCATTGCAGAGTAACTATATCATTTTTCATTCCTACCAGCAGTATAGGAGATATACATTTCCTCCACATCCTTATTAACACTCAGGATAGTCAGTTAATTTTAGCCATTTAAGTAGGTTTGTAGAGGTATTACATTGTGGTTTGTATTTCCATTTCCTTACTGGTCAGTAATATTGGGCATCTTTTCATACTTATTTGCCATCTTCATGTTTTCTTTGGTGAAGTGTCTATTAAAATATTTTGCCCATTTTTATTAGGTTTTTACTGATTATAGAGTTTTGACAGTTATTTATATCTTCTGGATATGTTGGAAATACCATGCTTTCTCTACTCTGTCATCTTTGCATTTTTATCAGATGTCTGCTGTTCATGTAAGTACAGGTTTTATTTTGAG